AACATATGTTATTACTACTGGCTAGTAGGTGGTTATTAGAAGCAGTAATTGGTATAAAACACTTGCAATATACAGATGAAAGGGATCAGCACAATCATTGGTGGAACATCACCATCAACTGAGAATGAGGATCAAGCTGAGAGTGAACTGTGAAGTACAGTAAAAGAGCATACATGTTGATGTCCCCAAGACTACCTAACAAACTCTAGTAAGCGTCATGTTTAGCAAATAATGAAATAGAAAGAAAGAGAAAGGCTTCCACATTACCACTATGCGTAATTTCTCAACAAATCTGAAAAGTTACTTGTCAATATCAAAATTTCTTTTTGGTCAATAATGCTGCTTTGCAGTTGATGTCTCGTACATAAAAAAAAAATCTTGATGCTCTATTCATAGCAAAAAATCATAAATATTCGTTTCGCGACCATAGTGTAATTTGATGAAAAAGACCACTTAGCCACAAACATTTTGGAGTAATGATGCAAAGTTCAACTGAAAAAGTTAAATTCCGCAAAAATTTCCATTAGCAGTAATGTTTGGTGTCCCTTCTAGCTTTGACAAAATGAATCTATATTTTCTGGTTTACAAAATAAATATCAAATTATCAAAGCTTCTGTTATGCTCATTTCAGGAGAAAATTGTTTTTGAACCTCCACATGCATCGGTAATTGATAACTCAATGGATAGCAAACTACCAGCATTAAGTTGATCCAACAACATGGATTTTCGGTGATTTCTTACCCACCGTAGGAATTAGTAATCCCAAAAATGGTGACCCATAAAAACATGAAATCAAGAAGTTCAAGGAAGTTATTAGATGGCTAAAAGTATTACACAACTAACCTGATGTTACTGAAGGACAATTTATAGATAGAATTGAATGACAAAAATTCATTAAACTAGAATCCTACATCATGTTATAAGCAAATAGAAAGGCAATATCTACAGGTAATTAGATAAATTTAGACTTGCTTGACAGATCACCATTCAATTCATGTTTACAATATTGCTGAGAGGAAGGTATATTAAAGAAAACGTGATATGACTAAGTACCTGAGACTTAAGAATTTCACGCTCACTTTCTAATGCATCAGAAGAAACGAGTTCCTTTGTTAAGAACAAAGGCTTCGCTGCCACTACATGCATTGCCAATTGTGAACCAATGCGCTGGATAGCATCCAATTGAGTAATTTTGTCCTCTACTGCAAGAGATAAAATTCCAGCAATACGACCTAAACCTGTAATTAGATAAAACATGACGGCAAAGTGAAAAATGCTTTTCAACTCGGATATTTTCAGTCCTGCTCCTGCATCAAGATAGTATCTGAAAGACCGGAACACATAGCATTAAAGTCAATATTTTGTGTACAGGTAAACGCTTACCTGGTTGAGGACTTGTATGGAGGTAGGTAGAAACAACACCATGTGAAGATGTAGACATCACAATACCCCTTCTAAGTTTAACGTTTTCCCCCATTACTGCAGCTACTTCTGTAATTGCATTCTGAACAGTTGTTTCTCCACTAACTTTTGGATGTTCAAGATCTAACTTCAAGTCCTGGTAGGGATTGAACGACTTAAAAACAAGTTTCCAGGAATCCAATTCCAGTTAAAGTTGTAAAGAAGGATTGGAAATTAATTCAATTCAACTAATAGGTTTACAATAAGTTAACAAATATATTTACTTCGGAAACTTATTAAGATCTCCGATTTCAATAATTGCATATTTAACTTACAACAAGCATAGAGTGCATTGCTATAGATATAACTAGGTTTTATCAATACTTCGGGGTAAATATAACAGTCGTCATTTTTCCTACTTTAAGGACAACTTTTCTCATTTCAGCCTTTTCTTTCGAAAAGAATCAAACTTTTTTATTCAACACAAAACAAATAAGATGCATCGAGCAGTGGAGAAGGAATACACCAGAAACAGAAATATTATATCTCAGGTCCATTACAAAGATTAAGAGCAACCATAAATCAAGGTAAATGAACCATTATGGTTTCCACTCACTAAATCAAAGAACAGTGCATGATAATGTTCTTAAAAAGACTCATCATGTTAGTGGCAGAGCAATCATAATAACATAGAAGACTAGGAAATTGCATATTGTTTCTAGACCAACATATGAAAAGTTGAAAACAATAACACTACTAATAAAGCAATGCAAAATGCTTACCTCCAAATCCTCGGAGGCAATGTTAAAGACCCCAGAATCCAGTTGAGAAGAATGTTCAACCAGCAACGCTTTCTTTGCTAAAGCTAAGGCCTATAAGAACGGTAGAATCGATTATTTACGAGCTCCAACGTCTAGAAAATTTGTGACAAATTTAAAATGAAAGACAATAAGAATGGAGTGTAACTGTTTGAAAAAACCAATGGAAATTACTTTATTTCTTATGAAAACAAAAACCATTGGTGAGAATGGTCCTAAATCAAAGTACGCAACCATATACTTACAATAACAATTAATCAAGTAGAACTCAAAAATTATGGAGAAAACATATCAGTCACACTAACCAAGTATTGAAAGATATCATTTCGAGCAACAAAGTCAGTCTCACAGTTAAGTTCAATAACAGCAGCCTTGTTCTCGTTCTGAGCCAAAGCCAGCAAGCCCTCAGCAGCCATCCGAGATGACTTTTTCGACGCCAAAACCTTCCCTCTCCTCCTCAATTCCTTCTGAGCAGCCTCTGCATTTCATTAAAGAAACCAACTTTGATAAGGATTCAATAAAAAAAAAAAAAATATATATATATATACACACACACACAACCGATTCAAATTAGCATAAACAAAAATGGGGAGAAAAGGGTTCTGACCAATGTCCCAATTGCTATCAATGAGAGCAGCCTTAACGTCTTTGATCGGCGCACTGGTTCGCTCCCTCAGCTGTTTAATGAGACTCATTTGATCAGCAGAAGAAGCTTCCACGCTGAAACCTCTAAGAAAGAGACCAGACCCACATCGGGTACTGGCAAATTTCGGAGGAAATGAGGCCGGAATCTCCGCGGCGCGGGCAAATGAAGCTCTTTTGCTCGAAACCCAGGTAGAAAACCCCCGCCCATTAGCAGCAGAAGAAGCAGCGGAAGCTGTGGAAAAAGTATAGCTAGTGTTCGGCAGCACCCTGCTACACAGGATTGAACCCAGAGAACGCTTTGCGCCTCCACGAAAAGCCATGAAAATATTCCTCTAGTCTCTCCCTTTCACTCTAATCTAAAATTCAAAATTCAATCAGAAAATTGTCATACAACGGAAAATTCAAACTTTCTGAGATATTTTCCGTGAGATTTTCTGAGGAAACAAACAGAGAATAGATAGAAGAACTGAAGCAAAAACTGACCTGACTAACGAAAGAAGGTGCGAACTCTGTGCTACTGAAACAACTGCGGTTCAAAACGGTGAGACAAAAGTTTGCGATGCAAAGTCTGCAGATACTCACTGGGTTTTAGAGGTACCTCCATAGTGGGTCGGGTCGGGTTTCCACCCGAATTAGATTCAAGTTTTCAAATTACTTTTGTACCGTTTGGTACGTGGGACAGGACGGGACGGAACGAGCCGTTCACTCCCACGTTTGGCGCGCCTAAAAACTATGGAACGGATTGTCCCATGGAACGAAATTTGGTTGATTTTTCGTTCCACCTCTTCCCCTGGAACGACCCGTTCCACATCACAAATTTATAACATTTTATGACAAAATTTCTCCTTATCTTTTTCAATATTTACATCATCTGTTCCGTCCCGTCCTATTCCGTCCCGTCTGCGTACCAAACAGTACCTTTGGGACCATACTTAGGTCCTGACTGCTCAGGATCAAGTATACTGACCTCACATCGTGGTACATTATAAAGATGACACCTGTCTTTTTACCTATCCAAACACCAAACATGGCGTCTTTGTTCTATATCCAAACATAAACTATTCCATTAACCAAACACCATCCTTCTCTCTCGTTGAAGAATCCCCAACCTTTAAGAGACAAACCAGCAAGCACCTCCCGCGACCCACCTCGTTCCTCCGCCGCAAACCTACCCAGTGTCCTCATCCAACTTCTCTCCTCTGTCAACCCACCGCCGTTCCACTGTCAACTTCACCGGTATTCCTCCGTCGGCCCCGCTTCCGCCTCGTCCTTCAACCTCTCTCCTCCATCGAAGTAGGTCCATAAGAATTCATGAAAGGGAGGGGATCTTTGTTCTTCGTGTATAGTGTGACGACGCTGCACTGATACAAATCTGTGATGGCATAGGAAAAGACAAGGACGATGCGGGATGGAGCAGAGAGGAAGTGAAAATGGATTATGGGGTGTTTGGATGCCTAGGTAATTGGATAAACAGGGTGTTTGGCTGCATAGCTTAAACATATAAAGTAGTACACGTGTTCTCTTTTAGTTGAGCCATATCAATGGTTAGTGAAAATTGGGTACCCACTTGTGAGTACCCCAGTACTATCCTTACTTTTGCCTTTTTTTCTAGTACAACATATATTTACTGTATTATTAAATCAGCCCCTACTTTTATGTATTATCAAATCAGCCCCTACTTTTATGGTTATGAGCGATATACCTCGGTTAATTAATTGCCTCACCTTGTCGCGAAAATTAGACTAATCGAAATTAAGCCAATTAAGTTTCTAATTTTAATGCTTGGAAATGTACTAATTGTAAAAGTATCATAGTGGGCAAGTAGTAAATCGTTCCACCATAGATTACTAAGATTGATTGAATTCTAACACCTAACTTAATTTAAATTGCAATTGTTAACATTTAACAATGATTGATAATTTGAGAAAAAACCAGGAAGCAAAATTTAAAATAAGAAGTAGATCGGATTAATAAAGAGTTATGGGGAAAAAAGAAAGATATTTTGTGCTATTATAAGATAGCTTAGCAACGACGTTTATTGGAGGTAACTCGTAGCAATGATTTTTGCTGATGAATCAGATTACTAAAAACAATAACAAGCTATAATGATACATCAAATTTCAATGAGGAAATCAATCATGATGAGTAATGATCGTCAGTAGGCATTGAGAAGCGGCACAGCGGGCAGAACCGGCTTTTCTCCAACCACTCGACAATGCACTCCTCGTGGTAAAAATGCAAACACGGCATACCAAGTGCTTCGGAACCAACCACAATCTCCGCCAGACAAATCGAGCAACAAACCCCCTGCGACGAGGCTTCCACTTTCACCCTCTCTAACTTCTCAATCGAAGATTTACTCGCCGGCACGAACGCAGGCTGCACATCAACCGGCAGCTCGTCGTCAACCGCATCAATGCTGATGAATGCCTCCATATGCACAAGTACAGGGTTGGTGCGACCTTGATCAGCACCATTGCTAACAACAAAACTCTTATCTCTTGCAACAGCACGCGCATCCCGTAATATAGTAGCCGCGGCGGATAAAAGATTCCCAGAACGGACGTGGATCAGCTTGGATAGCTCCTGAGATATGGTATCCAAAGTCCTTTTTGTGGCATTGTCCTCCATCAAAAGGTCAATCTCAAGTTTTTCCTCGTACTCGACGACGTCGGTGGTTTGTCCCATTTGATCATCTTCTAGTAACATTACTTTGTAGTGGTCCTCCAACTCCTCCTCATCCTCTAAATCCCTGGGCAGCACCATTACTGTAACGGTGGCCTTGATATCGAGCCACAACTTGGAATATTTCTCCGATTTGGGTAACTTCAAAACGTCGAGTAGCCGTGTTTCACAGTATGTGGTATCGCCCACCACATCCCAGAACTCATCACTTTGGCCCTCCACAGTGTCCATGTTATGTGGTATATGTGATAGGGTTTCTAAGTTTTGAAATTGGAAGCAAAAGTCTAAACAAGCTAGGATGTTCAGCGGGTATAAATAGCAATCAAGGGGTTTCCTAATTGGTTTAGGATTTGGAGTCTTGCTGACTAAGAACTAGGGTTAGGGTTTTATGTAAAATGTGGATTTGGTTTTCCTAATTGTTTTAGGACAATGATACTTGGTTCGCAAGAAAGATAATTGAGCGAGACAAAAATAACCCTGCCTTGCCTACTAGTATTTGGAAACCCTAGCTAGCCGCTTTTACAAAGTATATATATACATACTGCTAGACTTTCTTACTCTCATAAATTCTTACCTTCCAGTTTCTTCTCTTCCAAATTCTCTCTATCTTCACATCCAACTAGCTTTCAGAAAACCCTAGTTCTTTTTTCTTCGTCTAGTCGAGGAGAATTCAAAGCACATACTGACATACAATGATTCATTCAAATCTTCTTCAAGAAAAGACGACAATGTTCATCAAGAAGTTGAGCAAGTTCCGGTGCGCCAACAAAAGCTATATAGCTTTAAGCAAGTCCGAGAAGCCCAAGAAAGGTTATGTATCTCTGTCCGTGGGAGAAGAACGAAAGAAATATCAAGTTCCCTTGAAGTATCTCTCGGATCCAATTATCCAACAACTCATCAAGAAGGCACAACCGGATGTGTTCGATGCGAAGATCGACGGGCCACTTGAGATTGCATGTACGACCAACACCTTCGATCAGTTGCTCAAAATCTTCAAGCAGTACTAAAATCACATGCATGCCGCACTGTTTTCTGTTGATGACTTTTCTTAGCGGGTCTTGGCTTCGTCCACCCGCTTGTATCTAGTTATTTCATTCATCTTAATAATATAAGGTGGAGGGGGGACGGGCGGGGGGTTTCCGGGTGTAATGGTCCTCACCCTTTCGAGGGAGGGTAGGTGCCTCGCACGCGACCATTGCCGAGGAGCTAATCTCGCCTAATCCTTCTCCATTACTTAAAAAACAAATTCACAAGTATGTATTCAAGTTCTAATTAACATTCAGAAAAAAAAAAAAAAAAAAAAGCCCCTATGACGTTGGCATGTATGGAATTTGAGATTTTATTGAATGCAGTCGTAGTGAATAAAACAATAACAATTAAAATAAGAATGCATTTTGTTCAGAACGCCAGCAATGGCTAGAATGGTTGGTTCTCATGTTTTTGGAACATATCTGTGAAACATTGAATTTGGGATTGAGTTGCACCAACATGGCAGACAACAACGACAGTTCAACAGGAGCGGTGGCGGCACCGCGAGTGGCGGTGGCAACGGTGGTGGTGCTTATATTTTATGATTTCTCTCTATAATATTAATCCCAGATTAATACACGAATTAAAACAAAGTAAAAAAAACTATAAAAACATGCAAAATTATATTAAACTTGGAGTACTTTTTTTGGTATTTTCACACAATCGATATTAAAATTCCGTACGGTAATTTTCACTACAGTTATCGTTACTTCTATTACACTAATGCTCGAGATGACGCAACCCTATTTCTCTCAAACAAATATTTTTTATATAAAGCGTTAGAGCAAGAGCATCTCCTTTTGCCTTCACCCAGTTTAGGGTACCTACCATACCGGTTTTGAACCTATTAGAAAACAACTTTCATGACACAAGTATACCGACATATGACGTTTTGTGTCAATAAAACAAAGATAAGTGGATAAAAAACTCAGGTTTTTTATTTCATTAGAACAGGACTCTACACATGGAGTTTCGTGTCGATAAACCAAAAGATTAGAGGCATCAAAATCACACATCTGACAAAAGGATTATCAAGTTGTACTTCGAACCCCATCATTTTCGTTTATATCAAGTTGTATCTTCGAACCCTACCATGTTCAGGTTCGTTTTTGTTCGACACACCAAATTGTAAATTTGGAAGATTCGCGTTCAGTAATATTACCATGTCTTCAAGAAGATGACCAAAAAAGCCTCCAAATTATGAGTAGCCTCCGACTGATCTCAGAGTTATCGTGTTTTGCACACTCAATAATCTACAGGGACCATTGCCGTTCACAAAATATGAAAAACGAAATCTAAAAATGGAACATTTATCGACGGAAAAAATGGAACGTTTATCGACAGAACTCGGGGCTTCCCGATTTTCCTTTCAAAGTTCCAAGGTACAGATAATTTTACTTCAACTCTGTACACTTGCGATCACTACGGAATTTACAATATTGTACATCATGACAAGAATGAAGTTATCACTACCCAATAGTGACGATAGGACGAAAGGCCGTTTGCCATGAAAGAAATTACAACAGATCTGTTACAAACCAAAGAGTTTCAGCACATCACTTCCGGTGCCTTTGCTTCTACCACCAACCCATCTGTCACAAACCAAAAGAACGAAACTCACCGCATCAAGAGCAGGTGGATGTACCACAAGTGACCAAAACTCTACGCACATCACTTCCGATGCCTTCGCTTTTGTTCAGCTCTTTGCCTTTTCTCATCCTCCCATTCATACATCCTGGGACATAGTTAAGGAGTTCTACTATCCGATACAAGATTGCATAACTCAAAACAGAATGGCGAAAAATATATGCATATCATGATAATCATAAATCAGTGTCACGATGATACATGTATTCGTGAATGTATGTTCTCAGCATTTAGCAATTATCTATTATATGCGGAATGACATGAAACATTGACATTAAGGATACGGGTCAGTTTCACGACGAGCCATTTTGCTGGGTACTTCTTTACCATGAATCCTCGGACTTGGTTCCTCCAAGTAGCCTGATCGCTGGACAATGGGTCCTTTTCGGTCTCCCCTATCCCTTCCATCATATGACTGGGACAAACTAATTGAAAGAGGAGGAGGTGGAGGGGGAACTGGTGAATACTCACCTGCTTCCCCGGAAGGCAGATGCTCTCTTTTAAGTTTCCGCCTCTTAGAAGCCGCAATTGCATCTGTATCCTCCTTCAAGAGGGTTGCTTTCTCCCTCTCTCTCTCCCTCTCCCGTTCCCGCTCCTCTACCTATACAGAAAAGAGTAAAGCACAAACATAAAAATCATGCCTCATGTACAATGAAACTAATGAGAATTCCATTTGTAGTTTGAACCAAGTGAGTGCCTCGGGTACACTCATCTGTTCTAAGTATCGAATCATGAAAAAATTGAGATGTTAAGAAATTAGGAGTGGACGTGGAATGCCAAAAAAAATATGCCTAATTAATAACTGATAATGGACCTATTAAATTCGCAAATAATGTGTATACATAGAAAACTTGACAAACTAAAAAAATAGCAAGTTCTCAATGAACAAACTCATGCTTATGTCGCCCTAAAATCTATACTTGAAGAGTAGAGGCATGTAAAGGACTAAAAATTACACAGCACTTGGCGTGATAGCAAAGCTACTAAAACTGATAGTCGCACATAATGGTAAATGTGGTATAACACAAGGAAATTTAACTGTGATTGCGAAAAACCAGGCCTTTTGACCAACTATCATAAATATAGGGGACAAAAGCACATGTCTCTACAATTACAAAATACATCAAGATATTACTAATTACACTTAGTTTAGGCATCAATTTAACATACGGTGTTATAATGAGAACAGAAAGAGTCAATAATGCCTGAATATGGAACCATTTATTCTGATATATTGCAAGGAAGTGCCTCAAATGAAACCAAAAACAACTAGCATATTGAGCATACCTTTATTGACAGCCCCTCACGATCTTCGCGCTTTCTTTCTCGAAAATCATCTTCTCTTCTACGTTTTGAATCATCTTGAGAAATTAAGGAATTATCTTCAGATCGTCTACGGTCCTTCTCATCATGCCTTGGGGAAAGCCTCTGAGTATGTCTTGTAGTTCCAAACCTTCTATCTTCATCTTCATCTCTTTTAGCAGAACTAACAGAATGTGGAAGCATGTGAGGAGGTAAGGGTGGTGGCGGAGGTAAGCTTTGTCCATGATATCGATCATCAACATGAGATTTTTCCGCTGATACATCATTGTACCTTACTTTACCTCTGTCATCCTTAGATTTGTCAGGAAGTCTATCCAAATTCCTATCCATACCCCTCTCCTGAAGTTTCTCTACTGAACGCTCCCTTCCATGTCTCTCCATTGACCTGTCCCTGGATCTCTCATTCAAATCATCTCCACGCGACTTTTCAGGACGCTCCAATCTTTCCCTATAATCCTTTTCATGTCTTTCATTGCCCTTATCTTTGGACCGGTCAGAAGGCTTATCAGTGGCCTTGTGAACACTTTGATGATCAGTACCTGAAATTTCAGGATCCAACAGTCGAGCATCAACAGACCTCTCTCGGTCTGACACTCGAGCTTCGCCCTCAAAATCTCTCACTTCAGTTGTCCCTTTCCGCCGTTTGCTCTGTCTGTCAGTTTCTTCAGGACTGGTTCTCTTTTGCAGCTTATCACTAGATTTTGAAGCAGCAGCAGAATTATCATGCCTAGGAGAGTGAACAAGTCGAGAAGAATGGGGCCTTGGTGCATCAGAATTTTCACCATCTTCCTTTGGAGCAGAAATCCTTGTATTAGAAGATTTTGCTGCTGCAACCTCCACCTTTGATTCAGTACCATGAATGTCAGTCCTCGCAAATGAAGCTGAACCTTTAGCTGACGCTGAATCTGTGTTACCATTTACTGCGGCAGAAGAGGAAACATTTGAAGTCCCAGCTGATGCATGGGAAAGAATATCTCTGTCACTGATACTAGAAGTTCTGCCAATTGCTTTTCCAGATCTACTATCATCTTTTGCAACATCTTGTTTCAGCGCCTTGGCAAGTGATCCAGTAGGAACTGACCGTTTTGCTTGAGCTCTCAACTGTCAACAAAAGAAAATAAAATTTAAGGAAAAAGGAAGAAAAGTGAGACAATAAGAAAAATGTCGGTGAAATAATTGCTGGAAATATAACCTAAAGCTCAAAGAGGGAGAAGTAGAGAAAATGATTCAAT